TCTCTACTAACCTGTTCCAGAATGAACATGGTATGGTTGAAAAGCTGCTGCAGCTTCTCGTTCGTGAAGATGAGACACATTTGCTCAAAGGAGTTCACCTGTGCAGGAAAAATCAATATTGACACGTACGCGCACGCACATTTACACACATACACACACACACACACACGCGCACGCACAGCGACTTCGTTGATAACTATAAGAAGGTGGTTTGATCGCCACACTGCAGCTCACGCTTGTCAGTGAAGTGTGAAAACAAACCGGCAACTAAAGCGTGAGCACGAGGGTAGCAACCATGAACCCCCCCCCCCCCCCCCCCCCAGCATGCAGAGCAATGCAATGCCCGTTGTGTCCAACAGGTTTGTATACACTCTGTACAGACTACACCCTTGTTCAGCTGTCCATAGGAAAGAGTTTTACAAAATCCGTTTATTCCCAAACCTGCTGAGAGTGCTCAATGGCATTAACAGAGCTTAGAAAATAGCGAGAAATATGAATAAATACTATACTACTACTACTACTATTACTAAGCTTGGTATGCGGGTGTGACGTGCTGCTGCTCATCAGATTCGGTCCATGCGACTCTCGTGTTTTTAGTTTTGTTATTTTGTCTTCCTTTTTGGAATTCGTAAACCAAACGGACTCAACTATCCAGTGATCAGGTACTGGTGTGGTGGGGCGAGGTTTTGTTGGTGATGCTGCTGTCAGTGGTGGCGGCGTGCATGTGCTCGTGCTTGTGGGCGATGGCCCGCGTTTTCTCCCATGCCGCAAGTTTGTCTTGCGTTTGTGTTTTGCATTTGGACTTCCTGCCAGGCTTGGAAGGCTTGCATTTCAAACTGTTTGTCCCACTGTGTGGCTCCCAGTCTTTGAGCGGTGGAGCTCCAGAGAATTTTGGGCCCCTGGCAGTAGCAGTGCATTCCATGGCCAATTTGCAATTGTGGCAAAAATGTTCAGGGTGTATTTGGTTTCATCCACATTGAGATGAAAGTTAACACTGCCAACATGGATTCAGTATGATCTGCCACACGATACTTCGTCCGTCCACTCCTTGACGCGAATTTCTCCCCTCCAATACGACAACACGACGACAGGATGCTAACATGAGCCTCCATTTCTGAATAAAATAACGTCTCTAAAATGGCCACGAAAAGCTACAGTGATGCACATCAAGCTTAGGAATACACGAAATCCAAAGGCTGGGACATCGAGGTATACTAGAAAATTGCCTGCGAGGCGGAGAAAATTCGCTGGCGAGGTTGGCGAGCCCTTGAAATCGAGCGACGATCTAAACATAATTGCACCCACGTCGAGAAAGAAACCATGCGTAGCGCGTGGGCAACCCAAGAAGATCGCTCGAGCGGCGGCACAGTCGAAGGCAAGGCCAGTCCAAGCTCTAAACTCTATCGAATGAACTGGCAAACACCCATGGTTTCGGTTGACCTTGCCCGTTTGAGATGGAAGTCGAGCGAAATTGCAAACATACGACTAGGCCAGGTCGCGTAAAAAATGAAAAAGATTAAAAGTTGGCCGCCATATTGAACGCGCGTCGCATGCATGGGACAGACGTGGGTAGAGGCGACGATTTCAAATAGGACATAGGTTGCAAACCGGAACGGACTCAATATTCACTTTCTCTCTTGGTATTTTGATTAGAAAACATATGTCACAGTGAGACTACAGTGTGTTATTCCCAGCCAAAATGTAATGGCTCTGCGATGACCAGAAGCGCAATACCAAGCAGGTGAGTTTTTGACTTGTTGCTTCGCACTGCGACTTGAGTTTTACGACTTTCGAAAAATCAACTTCTTGTCGCAGGTAAACAGCGGCTCGCCTCTCGCCAATAAAGCACCGCATACCAATGAAAACTAATGGAAGCACACACAAGGCTTATTGTTGCTCTGTACTGGCCGTCGTGGAGCCATAGCAATTACCTAATTTCAGAACTCAGAGTGAATTTGACGTGCACTCCAAAACCTTTCCGGTTTGGAGCCACCTCTGATTTGAAGCGAAAAATTGGGAAACTTGGAGGCAATGGGTCAACACAAAGGAGTGGCTCAGTTCGATTGACTCTGGCCTCAGAGCAAACTTCAACATGCCAGTTTCCTTCCACAAACATATTTCGAGTGGACAATCAACGCTGATGATCGGTGTGGGTCTATACAAATTTGGCTGTCAAGCCGTTCCGGTATTGAACCGTCGCCTCTACCGCGTAAGGAGACCATAGGTCTGTGGGGACTGCTCTACAGAAATATGAATAAATACTATACAGTTGAACATCGATTATCCGACCACCTCTGGGCAGACAACTGTCAGGCGGTGTTCAGATAAGGCAAATGTTCCGGATAAGAAAACACACTGTAAATACATGTACAGTTGCGCTCGGTGAAATCCGGCCCGAAGTGCATAACTGGCGCCCAGTACTGTTGCGGCCCTTGACGCCCTCAAAGTTGTACAAGTGCTAGTGTGCGCGTGTGCCGTATGAACTGTGCATGTGCTGTACTCATACGCATGCATGCTTACACCAAAGTGTAAAAAACCGCGCCAAACAAAGACACGTGTAACATTCATTTCAGTTCAGCACAAGTAAAGAAGACGGATATCGTTTCGAAGCAGTTTATTTCATACACAGAACAGCAGGGCTTCAATATTTTGTGTGGGCACCGTCAGCTTCGATTAGGGCTTCAACACGACGTGACATTGACTCCACGTATGGGGAAACCGTGTCAGGACCCAACGAGTCCCACTCCAGGTGCAGTGCCTGCACCAGCTGGTCAGCATTCTCGCAGCGATGTGGAATTATTCTCTTCTTGAGAAGAGCCCACACATTCTCGATTGGATTCATGTCCCGCGAGCAGGGAGGTTGAAACAGGATGTTGGGTACTCCGCTATCGAGAAGATCCTGCTGTGCTTCAGTGAAGTGAATGAAAGAAATTTTGAACTGTTTTTGCTTAGCATGCAACACGTGCACTCCGAACTTTTACACGAGGTGCGTACAGTTGAGTTCATACACACAAATCGCCAGTGATGTAATGGGAGCTGGCTTCGCGGCGCCGGCTTTGCACTTCGGGCCGGATTTCACCGAGCGCAACTGTACATGTACATTGTAAATAGAATAGTGCTACTTTTCAAATTTTTCGTATTTTTTGAATGGCTCACTACATGCACAGTGCGTACTCTACGGCACGTGCGCCCAAAAAAACTGTTACGGATAATCGAAAGGTCGGATAGTCGATGTGCGGATAATCGATGTTCAACTGTACTACTTTATGCTGACCTTTCATACAAACTTCCAGTCTACTGCCCCATCATGCAGGTGGTTTATATTGGGCATAATAAACCTCATACCTCATACAAACCCCATATAGACCACCAGCATACAAACTCCTTTTTAGAAACAGGAAGAAGTTGACTGTCAGTTTGTATGAAGGTCAAAAAAATTAAAATTTCACGGTTCGCGTGAGACTCGGCTGGAAGCCGAGTTTTCCGCATCCGCCGTGGGAACGCCACCACCCTCTAGGATCAAAGGCGCAGATGCAGCGCCTAAACGGGGGGAGGTGAGTAGATCAGACCCACCACCAAGTGGTCAAAGACCGAAATCCCATTAGCTGCATCCATGTTACCCTCGTGCCAGGCCACGAGTTCCCAATTAACTGTGGGTCGCAGCACGGCTGGAAAAATTCCTTCCGCTTCCAAGCAGGACTTGAACCTGGTACCCTCTGTTTCTCAATCATGGTCTTAGACCATCCCACTATGCCTGCCTGCCCCTGTATGAAGGTCAGCATAAGTATAATACATCCCACTAGTGGTAGTATGTGGGTTTATATTTCACGTACAAGCGTACTGTTGGGTTGTATTATATACATACTGTCGCATCGCAGTTTGCTACGCAATTCTTCTGAGGTGCAAAGCAACTTCAGAAATGTGTCGCAGATAACTGCGATGCATGTTGATTTTTCACTGCACCCAATGATGTACAGTGTGCATGTCAGGTGTGTCTCTTAGGGATGAGATTGATACGCAAAACTAGACTTCGAAAGTGCTTATCTACGCATTTTGGCACCAGATTAGGTTTGCGACTACTGTAGCTAGTGACTACACACAATTTCCAAAACTTGCTCCGGTCGCTTCGATTTTGGTATCATTCGATTCTCCCAGGCGTAGTACATAGAAAATCTGCAAGTATTATTCAAATCGGCCCAGCCATTCTTGAGTTATAGTGATTTGAAGTGCGCCAAGTTGGACTTTTGTTGGAAACAGAAATGAATGGGGGTGATGGGAGAATCGAGAACGACCGCACAGTCAGTGCATGCAGTACAGTGTACAGTACACACGCCTCGTCACTCGAACTGCGCGTACGAAATTGCATACTTTGGTATGCTGGCGCGGACAAATTCGCTCGTAGAGGAAGACGAAAGCGTCTCACCACCTTGTAATTTCACATGGCCAGTAGTTTTTCGACGCTGAAGACGATGGAATAGTCCGCGACGCTGCGACCCGACAAGAACAACCCGAAAATCATACCCTGAAAAAGCGCTGAGCGCAGAGCTCATACCAAAGTTCAAAAAATTGAAAGTAAAATATTCCCTGACCCATATAGGGCAGAGCCTGTAATACCATTAACTTTCGTACTGCACATTGTGATTGTTGACAAGCTGCGCGCGGTGGATCAATATCAAACAAAGAAATGGGTCACGATGAGTACTTACTGGGGATAATTGCGCGGCTTTGTCCCGGTCTCTCTGCATAGAACGAGCGCTCGGAACAGAATGTTGTCGAAGGCAAACCCATTGCCCGGCAAGACAGCAATGATTATGTACACAGGTTAGTGGTCGTCGAGCTGTGACTCCGTGCCAAAATCCGTCCACGTCCGCTACGGAATGCCGAATGCCGTTCGACCGAGTACCCACCGCTACACCACAGTGCTCGTACTTCGGCAAAATATCCTTTCCACCATTCACGACGAAATGTTTCGGCATCTGGCTCGCGGAAGAAAGACATACTACTAGTACTACTACTAGTACTAGTACAAGTAGTAGTAGTGCGAAGCTCACAAGCACTCACAGCCCCGTTCACCATGGTTCACACTGCACACTTACATCAGGTGCTCGCTGAATGCAGTGAAAACAAGGAAGAATAGGGCTTGAAAGTGATGACGTCAATCGTCGCTTGGCAACAAAACTGGATCCACTTCGCTTTTTGGATCCACTCGCGTCAAGCTGATTTGATGCTGTTTCCCATACTTTTCGAAGCAGAAAGAAGCGACATTTTGAGAAGAGGCCACTTGAAGAACTGTGGGAGCAATTTTCGATACCTAGTATACTCTTGACCCGGCAGGGCGGCTTCGTATGACCATGGTGCAGTGTTTTGCAGCAGAATGCAACCACAGGACAGAGGATCGCAAGTGCAGCTTCTTCCGATTCCCGGCGAGGGATCCAGAGCGCAGAGAGATATGGAGGAAGATGTGTCGGTAAGGATATGTAGGCAGCCTGTACAGTACCTGGATAGTTTTATCGTGATGTGCTATTCACGCTGTGAGTAAATGCTTACCAAGTCTGCTAATGCGTTTTGCTTTGCTGGCGGATGGATGGCGTAACGCTTTTTCACAGTTTGTATTTTGTTCGATCGAGTGGAAGTAATTTTTTCAATTATTTTTTTTATTTTCCCATAGTTGCAGGGAAGCCTACATGTAGTTGGTCCCATAGGTCTTCAAACATTTGGTTGGTGACGGATGTGCGTAAATATCTACGGCGTGATAAATTCTTCCTCAGATTTTTCTCTTTCATATCCTGCAGGGCATGATTTACTCAAACCCAGAATCAGATGCATAGCAACTCACGTGTGTTACAGTGCATGGCATAAATGAAAGATCAGTGCAGTGTACAATGTAACCTCAAGAGTATATAACTCCCCAAGAGTGTGCAACTCCTGATACCCTTTCTATGGGGTACGTCGACGGCGAAAACTCACATCACGTGCAGTGTCGCAGTTGTACGTTTCCAGCCCGTTTTTAGCGAGCAGCGGAGTAATAAAAAAAATCTCTGACAGAAACTCACTGCGGGTATGCAAATCCCCAGCCAAATCATGGCAGATATTCGGATTGCACGCACGCAATCCTTCGTTTGTACGTAGTACGAACGTATCAGAGACACGTGATATGAGTTTTCGCCGTCGGAGACTCCATGTGCAGAGTTGCACACTCTTGGGGGGTTATATACTCTTGATAACATTTAGTCTGTGGACTCCACAATCTGCGCAGTCGACAACGTATTTGTGCTACTGTCAGAGTCAGTACCGTACCGAGTGCTCAGAACATGTGGGGTACAGGTACACACTTCACACGACCTTTCGACCGCAATGCATGGCATGCATCGCACATTTTCGTTACACAACCCTGACCTTGAGTCGCAAGTAGGCGCATCTGCGTCGCAAACTGCCATGCGAAGTAGGCGCATCTGCGTCGCAAACTGCCATGCGATATGGGATAAATCATGCCCTGCCGTGCTAACTTATATTTTTGGCAGAACGATTTTGTTTTTAATCAATGATAGCCGTCTAGGCTAAGCTAAACCAAATTAGTACATGAGCAAGACTGTGCAAATCCTTATACAATCATGTAGGTGGCTTTTTATGATGCAATCTATTGTGACTATTTACTATTGTTTCAAGTTATTGAGCAGCTAGCTAAACTCTCCTGGATATTGTTTGCTCTGTACTTTGCAGGCGACAAGACAAGGAGCCAGATGCCAGTTCTCGACTATGTAGCTGTCATTTCAAAGACGGAGATAAAAAGAAGGACCCCACTATATTTCCACGAAATAAGGATAAGGCGTTCGGTTTTCAGGACCCTGAACCAATGCATAGAAGGTATGTAGTCTAGGTCAATGTAAGAGATTTGTATATTGAACTTGATGTTCTCCTGAAGCGATTTCTAAATTTGTTTTGCCATCCCCCTAAATGAAGTGTGCTATGTGAATTCTAGTAGAGGACCAGATCAGTATTTCATAACACTGTGAACCATCGACAGGCAATCTTTCATTTTTGTTTTGTTTCTCACTGTCTCTCCATTATTTTGTGCAGGAAACGGACTGTAAAGGCATTAGCTGTTGATGATACGGACAAGGATGGTAGCGAACCAACTGAAGCTGACCCATTTGAAGCTGAACGTGAAGCTGCTGAACGCGAAGCTGCTGAACGTGAAGCTACTACTATGCAACGCCTGCTTGAACTTTTCCAACGCATCGACACGTCAATTCTCGAAGTGAAGTATGATAAGCTGAAGGCTGAAGTTAGTGCCTTAGAAAAGCGAAAAGCGAAGGTGGAAATCCAGTTCTGTTTCGAATTTATTTCCCGGAAAGCTGAACTTGTTCGGCACTACACCGGCCTGCCGTCTGCTGACGACTTTCGTATCCTGTTTCGTCTTTGCACGAGGTTCCCGATAGAGTATCACCAGGGCTGGCGAGTGGAGCTGGTACCAATGGAGGACCAGCTCCTCATCACCCTCATGAAGTTGCGGTGCAACTTCAGTCTGACTGACCTCGGCTTACGTTTCGGCACTTCGCACACCACTATATCTAATATCTTCCATACATGGCTTTCTGTCCTTCATACTGTACTCTATCAAGGCATGCTCCCGTCGCAACTTCCGTCCGTCACGAAAAACAAGACTTCTCTACCCGTCTGCTTCTCTACGTTCTCCAGTTGTCGTTTAATACTTGATTGTACTGAAGTCGAAATTGCAATTCCAAGCCGTATGGACACTCAGACGTGGACCTATTCCCACTACAAACATAAAAATACATTCAAAGGTCTTGTGGGTGTCGCACCGAACGGTGTTGTCAATTATGTCAGTCCTCTGTACCCAGGTTCAACCAGCGACAAAGAAGTCGTTCGCCACTGTGGAGTGCTGTCAAAGTTGACAGCCGGTGACATGGTACTCGCCGATAAAGGATTCCTGATCCATGACTTGATGCCGGCTGGTGTTTCTCTAAATCTTCCTCCTTTTCTCACTACTCCTCAGTTTACCGCTGCTCAAGCAAATGTAACTGCCCGCATCGCAAGAGCTCGGATCCATGTGGAGCGAGCCATACAACGCATAAAGATCTTCGCCATTCTCGACTACATACCCTACCAATACCGTTCTTTCTCCAGCGAAATCTTCCAAGTCTGTGCAATGCTAACTAATCTTTGTAATCCTCTCCTGAAGGAGATTGAAGCTGGTGACCTCAGCGCTGATCCTGCATCAGAAACTTCTGAGCACACCGACATCTCTACTCTCACACCACTGCAAACCCCTGCTGCTACGCCATCACAGAAACTGCCCATCACACCCGACATGGTGAATCAGTTATTCGCAGTCCTGTCAGCTGCAGACCCGTTAGCCAAAGCACCAGCACCGTCAGCATCAGCCGCAGCACCGTCAGCCAAAGTACAGTCAGCATCAGCCACAGTACAGTCAGCATCAGCCGCAGCACCGTCAGCATCTGCCGCAGCAGCAGTACCGTCAGCATCTGCCGCAGCAGCAGCACCGTCAGCATCAGCCATCACACCCGACATGGTGAATCAGTTATTCGCAGTCCTGTCAGCTGCAGACCCGTTAGCCACAGCAGCAGCACCGTCAGCATCTGCCGCAGCAGCAGTACCGTCAGCATCAGGCGCAACAGCAGCACCGTCAGCCGCAGCAGCAGCACGGTCAGCATCTGCTGCAGCACCGTCAGCCGCAGCAGCAGCACCCGCAGCATCTGCCGCAGCACCGTCAGCCGCAGCAGCAGCACCCTCAGCATCTGCCGCAGCACCGTCAGCCGCAGCAGCAGCACCCTCAGCATCTGCTGCAGCCGCAGTTTCACGGGTCTCCCTGGATACATTGCATTATTTGCCACATGACATGTGCCAGTCTCGAATGGATGGGCGGCAATGGAGCAATGCCTGCACCATCATTGCATGTCTACAGGCCTGGAAGTACCTGACTGTGCCCTACCCCATACAGCCATTGTCATCTGCCGAAGTCACGAAGAGATTTGTAAACAGCATGAGAGAGGGCAATCGACTGTATGATGATGCCAAGTTGGGGAACAATCTCCTTGCCATTTATGATGCGCTTGATGTCATACCAGGCAAGCCACTTCGGGTGGCACCTCGTTCCGATTTTGGTGCACGAAATGAGGAAGGTTTATCAAAGTTGTTAAAGAAGTGTAAGGATCAGGCTATTCTTTCCCAATCTGTTCTTCCTGCCTCTTTAATTCAAAATCCCTACACCATTCTTCTGGTATTTTTCCCATCTGGTTATGCTCAAGTCTTCGACAGCCATGCCCATGGCGAGCGTGGTGCCCTAATCGCTATTCTCCCAGCTGACATGAAAGTTGCAGCGAATTTTCTTTCCACGCTTGTTGGGCACATAAAAGATAGCCATCTCTGTATATTGGCACGAAAACAGTAGTTTATCCTTTTGGTGCGTTTTGCCAAAATTATCTTGACCCACTGATTGTGACGAGAAATGTAGTTCTGGAAACTATAAACATTTCAGCCATGTGTTATGGCGATCGCATGCATTCCCCCGATACACATCGCATACATACTCATTCTTCCAAGTTGCTTCACGTTATGATCTTGCATTTGAAAGCCCTATTTGAATATTGTGGCCAGCTGTCTTTGATGGTACGGTACGGCACAGGTACGAGCTGTCTTTGATGGTACGGTACGGCACAGGTACGGGATAGCGCAAGGCATGCCGATGGCACAAACAAACAAACACAAAGTTAAAGCTGTGATGACCTTGGCTAGCGTCAGACGTTACTGAAGTAACGTCTTTTGCATAGCTACGGTAATAATATAATTGTCAGCTTGTAGGTGCAATTGTGTGGAATGTTCAGGTGGTGTTGAAGGAAGAGGAAGGTGTAGAGTTATGATTGCAGCCATGGCACAGGTGACTAAAGCAAGAGGGGTGCTGTTTATCATGCACCTACAATATTCATGCATAAACGAACACGCACATGCACCCACACAT